GTAGGGTTGAAATCCATCATCCATGTCATCCCATCTCGAGATCCCCATTGTCCAAATAAACCTAGTCAAAGCCTCATGTTCGTTGCATTTTGATTACTCATTGAAATCTGTTTGTCCATGCCATTGAAAATTGTACCAAATGTTTTTCTTCCATAGCTTGTTGCTAGCGAGATGGTGCATTGCAATGCAAACAAGCTCCATGTAATGTACTTCTATTGATGTTTGAGTACATACATTTTATCATGTATCTGAAACAACTTTTAAAGTACACGATACATGAGCAAGAAAAAATCATTTACAAGTTGGTATAAAACATGCGCAAGGATTAAGAGAAACAGCATTTGTATTAAACAAAAAAAAATGTCATGGGTAGATTGCCTACGTTGGATGAGCTTTCAACGGTTGAGATCAGCAAGAAGCGGCATCAGTCTAGTCAATGTACGTGCACAACTGCCCTTCCACACGGTCCCACTCGCACCAACCGCGGTTGACCAGCCTTTGATCCCCCCGCCGCCTGCCGCCGCCGAAGCCGCAGACCATGGAGCACGCCTCCGCCTTCCTCGCGCGCGCGCTCACCACTCCGCTCCCGGCATCCGCCGCCCTCCCGCGGCGCCGCCCGGCCCGCGTGGCCGTCGCCGCCGCGGCGCCGGAGCGCAAGCCGCCGGGCGCGGTGGCGTCCACCACCAACTACGTCGTGCCGCTCGACTCCGCGCCGTCCGGGATCACGCGCCCGCTCGTCGAGATCCTCCGCGACCTCAACAAGCGCGTCCCTGACGCCATCGTGCGGCCCTCCTCCCGGCGCGCCTCCGCCTCCGACCCCGTCATCCCCTGGTGCGTGCGCCACCCCACCTACCACGTTACTAGCTCTCTTGCTCTTCTCATGCTGGGTCTGGGCTAAAGCGTCGCAGATCTTAATCCTAGGTCAGAATTCAGGCGGATCTAGCAACCCAGGCGTGATGCTTGGAGCATACTCATATTTTATCTGACAACTCTTCCTTGTCCTGATTGTTCACAGGTACCATGCCAACAGGATGCTCAGCTTTTATGCTCCAGGTGAGGCTACAATCCAAACTCATTCTACTGATAATGCCCACTCACTATTATGTGCTCTTGTAACAACTGAGGCTAGTTGCCATTTTTCTGCCTGTTATTTTTGAATTGTGCATGGTGCATCCCCATCCAAGCAGCTTGCTTTCATACACATACACCATTGAGCTTGAAACTTGAAAGGTTGTAAACTTGTAATGAAGCGTGAAGGGTGGATCAGTAAGTAGTAGTAGTATACATGTGCTGCATAGGATTATTGTCATTTGGGTGTCAGCAAAAATCCATTTATCATGAGGCGAATTTTCAACATTTCCTTTTTCTTTCCCTTGTAAAACTGCTCCAGCCCCTTGCTCCACTGATCTTGTGTGCTGACTCGAGACTTGAAATGTGCTGGTTGTGCTTCATGTGCCAACTGTTTGCTTTTCGTCATTTCACTGGGTGGTTCTCTTTATTCAGGTTGGTGTGGGGAAGTCCGTGATGTTATTTACACTGACAGTGGAAAGGTGACGGTCATATACCGTGTGACTGTACGCGGAACAGATGGAGAGGTACCTCCACTATCATCTTCAACTGTGATAACTGATTGATATTTGTCTCAGACCATTAGTTGAATGGATAACCAATCTCGCCGTTGCTTATAACTTTATTGTGTAAGAACATTTTAGTATTTTTTCCTTTCTTTTTTTGTGGATAGATGATAGTTGATAGGTGGGGTTGGGCCTGAAATTCATGGGACAGCTCAGGCAAGAGAGGCTCTTTTTTGTGCATTATAGATTTATAGATGTTAGGTTACCATGAATTCTGCTAGCGCTAGTTCATCAGTTTTGTCAAAACGATTCCAGTGGCAGACCATTCCAAATTCTTACTCGATCTTAGTTTGTTCAGGCTTTGCCTATTTTCCCACCCAAGGCATAACTGCATTGCTGTGTCATTTTTTGGCCATTAGTAAGAAGTATTTTTTTTTTGAAAGATCCGGTTGCCCGGCTTGATCATATTAATAAGCAAGGTAAGCAGAGGCAAGCGTCTTTTACATGCGCGAGGGGCGCAGCCTACGCAGTAGCACTGCGTAGGTGGAGAAAAACCAGAAAAGCGATTACTCACTAAACATTGAACTACCAGGTAGAGCTAGAACTTTTCCTCCTGCAGAGATCCAGAAGGAGCACGTATCTTTGATCTCTGTGAAGAGCGATTGCGTCGATCTTCTAGAATCTCTGAAAACCACAGCATTCCTCTGCTTCCAAAGACACCAAAGCGTTAGGATTGCAAGTGTATGCGCCCTTTTAGTGCCTTGATTGGCAAGCCGGCAAAACCAGTCCTCCATGTCATGTTCAGGTAGCCAGTGAGAGGGGTGCAGGTTTAAACATCCAGCCCAAATCGCAACAAGGCTCCAGACTTCTTGTGAGTAGGGGCATTCCACAAAGAGATGCATAGCTGTCTCCAAGTTCCTTTCACAGAGCGCACAAAAGTAGTTGTTTTTACAGCCTCGTAGCTGCAAACGCGCCGCTGTCCAGAGCTTATTTGCAGCAGCAACCAGACAGAATGTGGTTTGGTACATGCATGTTAATCCATACCATTAAACAGGGAGAGCCTAAAATGGCATAAGGAACTCCCAGTCTGTTCAGTTAGCCTCATGGGTGCCAGTGAACTATATGATATATGATATGAGCAGAGGGCATAAGGTTACGTGATTCAGCACTGGATCATAACCCTTCATCCTGCCTCGGACACCTTGGCTTTAACATTGTACTGTCCATGCCCAGTTACGTTCTAGGTTATGCAGTCCGTGTTCTGATGGCTTTAATTTGCACCATGGTTTTAACAATCTGCGCTGTGGGCCATGCCCGATTACATTTTAGGCTATGCAGTTCGTGTTCTGAAGGAGATGTTGAATTTGCAGGCTTCAAATGAAATGTATTACTGGCACACTAAAACCGCAGAGTTATTTGATAGACCTGTCTGGTGTTGTTTCCACTGATGCAGGTTCATAGGGAGGCTGCTGGAACAGCATCACTGTGCGATGCACGGTTCGACGATCCCGTGTCTGCGGCAGAAGAGGCCGCGTTCTGCAAAGCCTGCGCGAGGTTTGGTTTCGGCCTGTACCTGTACCATGAGGACGAGACGCCATAGAAGACCAACATTTCTCCACATCGTCTACGCCGGCTCTGTTCAGATTTGCGCTTGAGAGGCTGTGGTTTACTGGTGTTGATCAGTCAGTCTATCAGATACCCATCCATACTGCACTGCACGTCAAGTTACCCCTTGTTGCTAGGGTCCTTGAGCTGTTGTAAACTTGTAATGTTGGTGCGATGTTGTTTGCTCATTTTCGTACAGTCCTGTATTGCAAAAATGTTGCCAGCTGCAGTTGGTGTGGATTATGGAATTATGAATAAATGCGCGGTACCTTTTTTTTTCCTTATCTCAAGCATACATATTCACTCTGTCCAAGTTTATAGAAAAATACACGTAGCATCAAATTAGTTTCAATGAATCCGCCATAAAAAATATTACCTAATGATAAAGAGGCAAAATTTCAATCTATTTTTTTGTCCGTCCATTTTTTGTCCGTCTCCCTCTAACTATCGGACAATGAAGAGTTTCTTCCGGCCAGACTTATATATATAATCCGTGTTCACATGAGTTAGGATAGCTCTTATCTAGTGCAATATGGAGTCCGATTCCAAAAAGGTATAGATCTCTCCAATCCTGAGTAACGTGAATAGAAATCCTAATTCAAATAGAAAAGAATAAAAATAAACTTCAGTGCTTCCTGTTTCGCAAATCCTGTCCGTTCCGCATTCAGAATCTACTGCGGACTTTTGTTTAAAGTTTCTCCACTTCTGAGTTTGGTTTTATTTCCTATTTTTGGTTTTCATGATTTTTTATTTCTTTTTTTTTTGTTTCTGGTCGATTTTTAATTTTTAATTTATTTAATTGGCTAAGTCTGTTTGGGTTTCCGTTCCCGGTCTATTTTATGTTTCTTTTTTCTTGTTCTCGGGATCTTTATTTTTAGTTTCCATTTTTCTGTCCGTTAGGTCCGTTTATATTTTTTATATTATATTATTTCAATAGTTGACTCTTTCATTGCAAATAAAGTTTGTAACCAATTCTTATTAAAAATCAAGATCAGGCAATGGTCCAACTAATCAATCCGTAAATTGAAATATTGGGTAGTTTGTTATCCAATGCAGTTTAAATAAACATGGCTGCGAGGGATATGCATGTTCCACTGCAATTCATGGCAAGGGCTACCATATAGAAAATTAAGAGAGTTCTTGCATCATAATCATCAGGGGACATATCAGTCCATCCTCTTTTTTTGTCCACTCCCCTAATTATCTGGACAGTGGAGAGTTCCTTCCATCCCGCTTTTTTTATTTCACACATGCGGACTTATGACCCATACACATATGAGTTAGAACAACTTGTGCCAAGCGATGATGGAAGCAGGGTCCGACTCTAATATGTATGGAATTGCGCCCTCCATGCTCATATATGACCCGGACTTGTGACCGATGCTATAAAAGTTAGAAGTACTCGTGTCTAGCATGGATACGGAGTCGGATTTGTATATACATTGGGTTCCGTTGCAACGCACGGGTATATTTGCTAGTATTTTTTATTTGGCATTGTAGACTAGATGCTGACATATGGTTTTCTAAAATCTTAGTCGAAGTTACTAAATGGCTTGACACAAGCCTTTTCTTTTTCTAAAATCTCAGATGTCATTTTCACACCGGCGGCTTGTAATCGTACCCCTAAACTGAACTTGCCGACGGGCTGAGTGTGCGTGCGGGCGGGCGAGAGACGCGGATACACACACCGGATACACCCACAACGACTCGCGGGGACGCGGGCGGCCGAGAGGAGGTCGGACACCCAGGAGACGCGCGGCCGCTCCGCTTCGCTGCCCAACCCCTTGTCCTGTCCTCGACCCGTCCGCCGCCGCGTTCGACATGGGCGACCCGCCGGCGCTCAAGAGGCCCAAGCTCGAGAAGGACGACAACGGCTCCACCTACTGCCCCCGCCCTGCCTCCAATGGCGCGGGCGCCACCGCCGCCAGCGCGGCGCCGCCGCGTGACGACGTGGAGGAGGGGGATGACATCTCGGAGGAGGCGGTTGTCTCCCTCATCGCGCACCGCGAGCGCGACGTCGAGCGCTGCAAGCTCAAGCTGCTCCAGTACCAGTCCCTGGTACGCGCTCGCCCGCTCCTCCTCGCGCTCGCCTTTCTGACATGGCGATGATGACAAGGTTGCGATCTTGGTTGGGTTTCTCAACTCCCGATGCCCGATGGCCGCCGCAGCTGGACACCGCGGAGATGAAGCTGGAGGAGGCGCAGTCGCGGCTCGCCAGGTTCCGAGATCGCAAGCCGGCGCCAAGCCGGTCGGAACCCAAGCTACCGACGCCGCCAATCCAGAGGGACCCCAAGCCATCCCCGCCGCCGAACCAGAGGGATCTCAAGCCATCGCCGCAGCCGCCAATGCCAGAGAAGAAGGCTCCCTCGCCCGCGCCGCAGCAGTTGGCGAGGCCACAGCTTGTCATCCCTGGGACCAGCAACCGACCGGCCCCGCGCCCTGAGCCCATGCCTGGGTTGAAGAAGGCCGCCGCCCCGTCATCGTCTTTATCAGGGGCGCTGCCAGAGCGGTCAAGGAAAGAGGAGAAGAAGCCCAAGAGGAAGATTGGTACTTACTAAAGATTTCTCCCCTTAGGAGAAGTAGTTTCAGCCGCGGTTTGATCATTGTTGATGTTTGATGTGCTATTTACATCTCTCAGCTGTGCTTATCTGGTTTTGCAGAACAGAAGGAGCATCAGAACTTGATCCCGAATGTCAAGAAATCATCTGCAACTGTGCTTAAATTTCAAGGTGGCAATTTGGTCTCGAGCCAACACAGGAGGAAGCTTAGGTGTCTTGAGCTATGCCCTGCTAATGATCAGCTCGTTGTTATCAGGTACTACAATTCATGGGATATAATAAATACCAGTAAATAGGTACCATGAATGCACCAACTGTAGGCAAAAAAAGAGCATGACACACGTACACTGAGGAGCACGTACCATTAGTGTTCAGCTTTGGCATCATTGAAATCGTTTATCCACCTCCAGAAGTTTTAGGTGCCTGCAAAAATACACCCAAAAAAGGTTATGTACTGGCAGTCTACAAGCACCGCTCACAAAGCAAGCTTACTTCTAAGTTGGACTATTTGCTTGTACTTCTTTCTTGGACAAAGTTCTGTGAGCAGTAGTATAGGCTGCTGGTTTAGATTTATAAACTGGGATGACTGGACTAAGTTCTCAACCACTGTTCCAATATACATGCTGTCAAATGAATGATTTTGTTTACTTGTTTATCTCAAATTGCATGTGAACAAAAAAAAAAATATTTAGAGTAAACATGATTTGATAAGTTTGCTTAATTTCCAAAACTTTAATCTTATGCTTTCTTGTGACGCAGTGCGCTGGATGGATTGGTTACTTTATGGCAAGTGGAGACAAGAGGGTATGCATAATGTTACTATGAATTGTCAACATGTTTTCCTTTTCATTTCCTGCTTTTTTTACTAATCTTTCAATCATATTTAAGAGATATGTCGCTAGTTTCTGGAAAGTTGTAGTGAAATATGAACTAGGTAAAGTGTATGCCTACTTGCAAATGATCTCAGCTTAAGTGGTTATGGTTACATGGTGATGGAAGAAAGAAAAACTTATATCTGTCCTGAAACTTAAATTCATACTTTGTATAAGCCTTAATGAGTGACTCAGCAGTACTTAATGATAGTTTTGCTTGACAGATTAGTTTTGTAGATTTATACCAACAGGAGCCTTAGACAATGCTTTATTCTTGAAGCCTCACTCCCAAAATGATCATATATTGACACTAAGGAGACAATAAATGCATACGTGGGGTTGATATCAATTATGTAGATTTAAGTATTTACTTTATGAACCTCAAGTGTGGATTTTTGCAGTTAAGACTGAAGTGCCCACCTTAGTATGTCTTACCTTGCCAAGTTCATTAGCACAAAATGACAAAAAACAAGTTCTGCTTTCTTTTATTGTTTGTCTCTTGTCTCTCTTCTCGCACTTAGTCGAGACATGGATACTAAACTCAGCACTTTTCTTGTCTCTCTTCTCGCGCAACCAAAATGTTGTAATGCTATGGCACAACTGAAAATCAACACTTTTCTTGTGCGCTGGTATCCCCAGCAGGATTTTTACTCTGAAACCTTTAGTTGGTTTATTTCCTTTTTAAAAAAAAGTTCAGCACAGTTAGTAGCAAAAAAGGATGTGCCAACACTTTCCATTGTGCCATGGGGAACACCATTATGGTCAAACATCCGACAACTCTCCTTCAATACATGTTAGTAAAATTTTAGCATATTGTTTTAATGAAGACGAACTTGGTATGGGCACACACATGATGGTTAATATACTGTTTTAACATCAGATAACATCAACCTTCTGAATCTTGTACAGTAGTTAACAATCATGGGACTGGCTAGGCCCAACACGTGAGGCAAGCAGCATGGATGTCCCATCCAAGCCATGCAGCAACAGCTTGATCTTGTCTGCTAGGTTAGTTGGTTTCTTAGTGATTAGTTACATTAGGAATACCCATCGGTTAGTTGTGAGGCTATTTGAAGGAACCATGTATTCATGAGGAGGCAGGCAAGAATCAATCAATCTAGTTCCGCATCTGTATTTTTCTCATCTTTAGCAGCCTACTCCACCTGGCCAGTCTCCCAGTGGATTTACCCCGTCATGGACTGGGAACATGGCACTAACCTTGCTTAAGTCACATGGAAAGATGATTTTGGAAATGGATAAGATTTTAGTATAGGTACAACCTTTAGGAAGTGTATTTTTTGTTGTTTGGTGTATCCGTGTTTCATGTCATTACTTTTTGAAGGAAGAAATGCTACACTGCCGCCACATGTTATTTAGCATGTCAATGTTAAATTTGTACGCCAGTAGTGCAGGTACTAAGGAGAATATAGTTCTCCGTGATAGATGCACTTATTGTCTGAGTACATGGTAACTTTAACTTTATCATTTATGGTTGCGGAAGCACATTCCTGCATACACAATTTGCATTAGTGAAAAGGTAAAATTGTTGGGCAGGTATCTTTTCAATTTTTAGCACCATTTGACAATGTACGTTATTATACTTGCAGACCTTCTCTTTCATTTCGTGGCAAAACAGATTTCTTTTCCCCAAAGCATAGATGGCCTGAAGATATAGCTTGGCATCCAGATGGTGAGACGATTTTTGCTGTATACACTGCTGATAATGACGATTCTCAGGTTTCAATGACAAACCTTATATCAGGACAAGTAAGAACTCTGTCTAAACTTGTGCACCCCTTTACATCTAGCTACATGGCTATATAGATTCCGTTAGCTGCAGTGTTATAATGTGATTAAATTATCAAATTCTGCATATATGATTTCATATAATTAGTATTTTGAAATTATAGTTAGAGGGAGGAATTTGAGAGGTGGTTGTTTTAGTTATTCCTGCTCATGTGTTAACTTAATTTGGGCAAACCATAGTTAGACTTTGCTCTTTTTCTTTTGTTCTATCATGTTGATGGCAATAATGAATGGCTGCTGAGGTAATGAGGTGGTCTACCTTTAATCGACCAGTCATAACTCAGTTAGGTTTTCCCGAAATTGTTTTCGTCAGTGATTGCCTTCATTCCATTTTACTGTTTCACTGTGTAGCGTGTAGGCGTCAATGCCTTAGTGCGATATGTTGTTACATGACTTAAAACTTTGAAAGAATTGATTCCTCCATCCCTTACTTTATGGCTATACTTGTCTATGCCTTATTTTTGTGAGTAACAGATAATCTACTTTCTTGAAATATTACTAAATGGTGTTCCACAATTTTTCCCCTGAACTGAAACAGAGGAAAGTTACTTTCCTACCGGAGAAGCCTCACACAAAAGGAATCATAAATAACATAAGTTTCATGCCCTGGTTTGATTCATGCTTTGTAACTGGAGGAAGTGACCATGCTGTTATAATTTGGGAAGACAAAGATGATTCATGGAAAACCAAGAGATTGCATAAGGATTTCCATTCTTCTGCTGTCATGGGTGTTGCTGGATTGCAACAGAAAAAAACAATATTATCAGTTGGCTGTGACAAGAAGATAATAGGATTTGATCTCTCTGCTGGAAGGACAGAGTTCAAGAACCTAATTGATAGCAAATGCATGAGTGTATTAGCAAATCCATGTGATTTCAACTTATATATGGTGCAGACAGGGTAAGTGATTTTTTTTTTAAAAAATGTTTCTGGAATAGTGGGTTGATTTTGTTGCTGTTATCTTTAACCCTTGAGGTAATCCTAACCTATTCTTGCATTATAACTTACAAGTTTAATATACTGCTCAAGCTGTAGTTTTATAATAATGTTTTATAAAGAAAATCTTTCACTGATTGATATATATAGTGATTACGCGATGTTCTATGTGCAATGTTTGTCAGTAGCGCTCTATTCATATTTGGGGTGCATGCTTAAACAGTCTTGTCTGTTTCTTTGTGCTAACAGGGCTCCAGGCAGACAGCTGCGCTTGTTTGATGTCAGGCTTAGGCAAACTGAGGTCCATGCATTTGGTTGGAAGCAAGAGAGCAGCGAGTCTCAGTCAGCTCTGATTAACCAATCATGGTCTCCAGATGGCTGGTACGTGTCGTCTGGTTCAGCAGATCCTGTGATCCAAATCTTTGACATCAGGCATCATGGCCAGAATCCTTGCCAGTCTGTTCAGGCACATCAAAAGCGAGTGTTCAAAGCTGTTTGGCATCAAACATTGCCATATCTGACCTCCATATCGTCAGACCTCAACATTGGAATCCACAGATATTCATGAAAGTGCCATCACGTCTCATTTTGGTGCTCAGCAATGCTTTTTTGTAGTGAAATAGGAACGTTCCATGAAGACCTGTGGAATTTGTCTGCTCAAAGCAGGACTTTGCATCACTTGAAGAAACAGCAAAATTAGCGTGCTTTTGAGCTTGTTTTGCTGGCCCTGTTTTGCCATTGGCTATGTGGAAGAACCATGCAGCTCAGTAGCTGAGGAGCCCCAGAGTTAGATGTTTGCTCCAGTTGATCGAAACTTTTCCATCTTTTGAGCTGCTGCCGGAGTGGTAGGTCATTCATCTGAACTCTCTTTGGCTCAATGTGTTGCCCTGGTTACTTTGGGAAGAAAACAGTCAACTGTACACATTATGTCCAATATATACGGCAATGTATTCCCTCGTCTGTTACTGCCTTTTTGCAGTAGATTTGCCCATGTTTGGGTCGTTTACAGGAGCTACAGGTTTCTGTTTCTCCAAAAAAAAAAAAAGTAAAATAATAATGCATCCAAGTTGCCTCGCCCATAATTTGTGTTGTTCGGTATTTACTTTAGTATTCTTGCACTTGCCGTCCTGTGGTCAGGAGAGTTCTTTCATGTTTGTTTGCTGTTTTTTTAGAAAAATAAACTTTATTCAGAAACTTCATCAGCATCATTTTAGAACAAGTAATTCCAGTATACTAACCATATGGAATCATTTCCCCCTTGATACTTGACTAGCCACTTTTGCCCGCGCTTCGCTGCGGGTGACCAACTTAAGAAATATGTCTTTATTACTGTCATTGTAGATTTATTTCACACCAAATACGTGCTTACCATTTTTATGTTTTTACGATAATTTGTTATGCACTTTATTTCTTTTGAGCAACAACTACAATGGACTTGGGATTCCATTTCTTTTGTATGTTCACGGTAGTTAGCATTGGTTTGTTTTGAATGTGGCTTTTTTTTTTTTTTAAAACACAAAGGCACACCAACACAAGGGGAGTAGTTCATTCAAGGGCACAATTGCGAATACAAAGCGGGACGACATAACAAAGAGGATACGACATCGCTAAAACTCAACAACACAAAGAAATGGAAAAGATACAACTCTAGGGGAGCAACTAATCTACTTCCTCGAGACAGATGGCTTCACTGGTGCTGCTCTCTTGAAATTCTCTGGCGAGCTTGGGCTGTGTGCATGGAAGGGGAGACTCCACTTGAGGGCCTCTATGGGAGTGGGTGGTGGTGCTTGAGGCGCCGCCACACTGCTCTCCCTCTCCCACGGATAGATGGGTATCCCCTCGGGAATCGAGGGGTGTTGCCCGTCTAAAGCGCAGAACATCCTCCGTTGGTCTCGAGTGACAAGGTAAGCTTCTCTTAGCTGCTTGGCGTAGCGGTTCCCGCTTCCCACATGGCTTCAGCCGTGGCAGCCTCACGGCTTTGGCGGCAAGGGTTGTTTGGCCGAGCCATGGCAAGGCTCACATGGAGCTTCTGATGAAGGCCTCCGCCCCTTGGCTCGAGCGGCGCACTTCCTCAACTTTCGAGGCCAGCTTCTCATGGTGCTCATCCAAGGCCAACAGATATGTGGCTAGGGACACCACAGTGGGGTCGATTGCTTGCAGGGGCGTCCTTGCAGAGCCTCTAGGCGTGTCCTCCGAAATGGAGTGTCCTTGTCCGGCGGAAAAAAGAACCTCATGGGGGGTATGGGCGAGGGTCCCGCATAGATTTGGCATAGGAGTCGCAGAGCTTTGCGAGCTACCGCTTGATAGGCATCGAGGAAACGAAAACCAATGGTGGTCGTGCTCCGACCATCAATCTTTGGTGGAGTTCTCACTTTTCCCGATGTAGACGATGACCTCACACCGCTTCGGTGTCATGCTCTATGAACTCACGACCTTCATACACGGGGACCTCTCGGTTCCCGACCAACTTTGCGTGGTGGTATCTGAGAATCTTGGGAAATCCCTTTATGCCTTGGCGGTGTTGCTAGTCCAGACTCCTTCACCATCCTGCGGGGTTGGCTAGGAGGGTTTAATGGGTTGAAGGCAAGGGCACAATGGCCGATGAGGCCATGGGCTTTGGTCAAGGAGGAAGGAACTTTGGTGAGGTGGTTCAATGAGGGGATGCTTGGGAAAGGTAGCCGGGTGGTTCTCATTTTGTAGAGGGCTAGGGCAAGGCTTCTCCGAGAAGCTTCACCGCCTATAGTGGGGCTATAGCGAAAAAGTGGGGTGCACCATGTGTGCATGCGGCGTGGTCGTCGGAAAAAGTTGATAGGTGGGGCCTAGCAGCAGGTTTGCTGACCCAAGAAAAGGGGGTCAGCATGGGTGCAGAGCGAAGGACCGACCAAAGCCGCAGAAAAAAGAGTAGAAAGACGTGGTCCATGATAGGCATGAATTACGGCGGACGCGGCGCGCTGCAAGCCACGATATAAAGCCAGCCTAAAGTGCATAGATGGTGGCATATGAAAGCCGTGGATGCGCGCACGCAGATTGTTATCCATGCATCCACGATCCTTCCCCACACACTAGTGTCATCGTCTCTGCAGACGCCAATGTCCCTCTCCACACAACACCACGCGCACCACCGCCCACGACGCCGCTCGAGCCATCACCTTTGTCCCCACAAGGCCGCCAATGGCGCCGTCCTCTATGCACCACACACGGTTGTACCTTACGCATTCCACAAAGACTTTGCTATGTGGCGGCGCTTGAGTCATGACCTCCGTGCCTAAAAAGGATGGTGCTGTTGTCCCTCCATGAAGCCGTTCCTTCAAAATGATGCGATTAGTGGCGCCGTTGATGGCACGCACCGATCCCTTGGCCCTGCCATCAAGCTCCTATAAAACGCCCCCCTCGGTGCCTCTTCGATCACCGCAAGACACCCTACCATCAACACTAATCACCCACATAAAGACATGAAGTTTTAACCAGTTCCAACAATTGAAGAAGAAGCCTAGCGTAAGGGTTGCAAGCCATAGAGCACCTAAGAAGACATCAACAAGAAGGTGGAGTACATCATGGGAAGGAAGAAGTGGATACGCTCAACATGTGCCTAGATGAAGAAGAACTTGCCATCACCATCTTTGCCTTCCTAATCCCTCCTCTAGTGGGTGCAATAATCACATATCCTTGTAATGCGCTTGGTTACCATATGGGAGCCCTAGCTGCCCATGTAATCAAGAAGCATGCAATAAGAATCCTACGATTTATGTTGGCAACTAGGACATTTTGAGATTTTGTAGTTCAAATCCTCAAAAGGGAAAACAAAATATGGCATGGCCATTGCTTTGCTACGCCGTTGTAGGCGATGTGTTTGGTATGCAAAATCTTAGGAAACATGGCAAGCAAAGATATGCAACACATTTTGTAGCATCTTGGTAAAAAATCGACCTACTTGGTACACTAAGTGTTGGGAAAATATGGAGTTGTAAAGGAACTTAGAGTGTTGGTTGGCACTAAATGATGCCTATTTTAGGGCAATAAATTAGTACCATCTTATTGGAAAAACGATTGATGGAGTTGGACTCAAACAATTAACACACAAATTCAACACACAACATTAGGTGTGACTATGCTATAGGTGGAAAGAGTACCAATTACATCATTCTCCACAATGGAAGACGTCTACACAAAACTCTTTCAAGTGGGGGCTCAAACAGGTACCTCTAATAGTGCCAAAGCATTACAATACGCTGGACTACATATTAGGCGGACATCAAATGCACTACACTATGGGTACATTTTATTACTTGTACAATAACCCTTAAGGGGATACATTTGGACCGTATTAGATTCATTCCCTGAGAGGCGATGTGGCCACTCGGATCATGCTTCACTGAGGAACACTTTGGAAGGATGGCATGAGAGCAGGCAACATCCCCGGCAATGGTGAGTGGGTGCAAGGACCCCTTGATCACCGACTCTCCTTATTAGAATTTGCTTGCGAGGCTTTAGCCGGGGAAGACACAGGTGGCCCATGCACAATCGCTGCTTGGATTCTTTCCACTGGTGCAACTGGGATTCCTTCTAGTATGGGGCACTCCCTCTCTTGCAAAGCGAGGGCCCTTCTTTTCTTCTTAGTGACAAGGTACAAATCCTTCAACTGTTGAGTATGTCGGTCTTGACCCGCTTGAGGGCTTCAATTGATGCAGACTTCTTGGCTCTCTCTCTAGTTGCTGCAGTGCCTTAGCCTCCATAAGTGCACTTCAAGGTTTCGATTTGCTTCTCGGCACCCTCTGCTCTCTGAATGCACTTTCGAGCTTGGTAGCACTGCCTATCATCACGCTTATCTAGGGAAAGCAAATAGTTAGACATGAACGCCATAGTTGGGTCACCTTGTTGTAATTCAAGCCCTTGGAGGGTCCTCATTCGAGCTTCCCATATAGGGCTTCTCCTTACCAAAGGGGAAAGAATCTCATTGGTGTTTGACATATCTCGCCTCTCATAAATTTGGCATAGGTACCTCAAAGCCTTATGAAGCGGCAACTTGGTAAGTGTCCTTGAACCGGAACCCCGTGGTAGACACTACCCATGGTATTGTGTTAGGAAAATCCTTACTTGCTCCGACGTAGACGCTCACCTCACACCGCTTGGTGCCATCTTGCTCATATTCCCCCTTAACGTATTCGGGTGGTCCATAATACCTAGCTCGGTCATTGTTGCATATAGAAGCTTGAAAACCAGGCCGTGTTCAGCCAGTAGCTAGTGGTCCAGTCTTCCTCCGCCATCTGCAAGGCAAAGAAGGGGATGTCATGTTTTGAACATATATGAAATGGTAGGATTTATGTAAATATGGTTATACCTCTCACCTTGTTAACGCCAGTGGACAAGAGGAAGGGCGTCTTATACTTATGGCGAGTCGTTTATTTTATGAGATCATATAAAGGGGAAAGAGCAATGGGGCTTGATAGAAAAGGCGACCGGTTAAGGCATGGTTGAAGTTTGAGGAATTCATCTTTCGGCACCTTATTTTTATAGGGACAGAATATAACAACGTGTGCGGTAACACAAAGATCTTATTTAATGTGGGGG